CATATTGCCACTGGACTCTTAACTTTTTATCCTCCACAATGCAAGGTTAAAGCAAGCAGTGGAAGGCTGGCTCTCCACAGGTGCCCTGCAGGAAGCTAACATCCTTCCTCTGGTGGGCAGAGCCTGCTCCTTCACTCTCACCTCACGCCCCCAGCACTGTAGGAAAGCTGCAGCCTCAGCAGCCTTCAGCCACTGCCAGAGCTGCAGGAGGTTTCACTTGGCACAGAGTCCCAAGGAGAAACAGTTCTTTGTTTCCAACATCTCAGGCAGGGCTACTAGATCCTGCCACAAAATTCTCACACCCCGCCCTCTCGGCCTGTCCAAACCTAACACACAGCAGCTGCAATCTAAAGATCTTCCCCTGTCACTGTGGGCACACATTCCCACTGGCCGTCAGAACGACCCTTCCCTCTGCCACTCCCCAAACCTACCTTGGCCAGAGAACTTGGAACCCCAGTCTGCTGATGGATTTGTGTCAAGCATTTACACTCCACTTTCTCCCTCCTACTCTGTAGTCTCCGTCTCCCTCCAACATGCAGACCTCTCCAGGCCCTCACTGTGTGGGTGAAGACAGAAAAAGCTGAGTCACAGTGAGGCAGTGGTTTCCATATGACAGGGGGCATCAGCAGGCCGGGACAGGCAGGACCCTTCAACAGCACGGCAGTCCCAGGAGGCTATGTGATGTGAGGGTGACCTCAGGATCTTTGGATTTCCCCTTAACCTGCTGAGCACCCCTGATGCGGGTTTCTGAAGCAGCCTCAGCAGGCACACAGTTGTGTGCACATTGCTCATCAGTGCCACTTGGCATCAGCAAGTCACACACACCCAGCACACTGCGGTGACCGCGACCTGCTTCCTGAGCTCAGGTAGGGGCAAACCTCCAAGCCCAGCTGCTCAACGCAGAACGTGAATCCAGTGATGGTGCTTAGAGACGGGTCTGGACAAACACTCCCTGCTCACTGAGGCCCTGGGAGTGCAGACCTGGCTCCCTAGGACTCGGTGGGAGCCAGCCGCCTTCCCCCAGAAACCTCTCCCATGTGCTGGGCCATAAATTTCCAAAATACTGAGTTGGAACAAACCTTTCCTTTCTAGCTAGCTTGTTTCTGGTATTTGAGTGACAAAACATTGATACACTCCCTGCCCCCTAACAAAGACAAAATAGAGTACTTCAAAATGAGTGCAGAAATGGAATTAAAAGGCACACATTTCTTGTGAACTTTTGATGACCCTGCATACACACATAGCCTCCCACATATTCCAAATATACGCTAATACTGCTCCCCCATTCCACACATACTATATATATCACACACGCATACCACATATGCACACTACACAACCTACATACACATGTCCATACACAGTACAATTCACACATGCATACCACTCACAACATATATACACCCCACCATCAAAGACATATACACACATCACAGTACTCACACAATATATACACACATCATACAGTATTCACAATATATACACACATCACACAGTATTCAAACAGTATATACTTACATCACACACCTCACACCACATCCTTGACCACACAAACTGGTAGCTTCTCTCCTGTGTGTGCGTGTGTGTGTGTGTGTGTGTGTGTAAGACTTTCATTTTATAACATGTTACTAGAAAGACAGATTTGCAAAGAACAGGAGAGACAGAAAGATCTTCCATCTTCCGGTTTACTCCCCAAATGGCCATAATGGCCAGAGCTGAGCCCACCTGAAGCCAGGAGATGACTGTACCACAACATCAGCTCCAGTAGGTCATTTCTGAGGTATGTAGGCAGCAATTTAGCTTTTTTTCTTCTGTATAATTTCATTTTTATTTGAAAGGCAGAGTTACAGAGATAAGGAGAGACAGAGACCTTCCATCTATTTGTTTACTCCCCAGACAACTGTAATGGCTGGAGCTTCTTCTGCATCTTGCACTGATCACTGCAGGGGTCTAAGGATTTGAGCCACCGTCTTCTGCTTTCCAAGGCCATTAGCAGGGAGCACAACTGGAAGTGAAGCAGCAGGATACAACCCATATGGGATGCTGATGCTATGATGCCTGGCCCAGGCCCCGGTTCCAGCCCCAGCAGTTTAGCTTTAAAAGTTGCTTCTTCTGAGTAATCTGGTTTTTTAAGAAGTTAGATATTCATGCATATCTTATTATACAGAAGCACTTATTGGTTTTCACAACTGCTTTCCATGGCCTTGTTACAGGAAGTCCAAAGAACTATTCAGAGGAATGACTACAGTGCCCCCCAAAATGGCTGTTCTCACCCACCTTGAAGCAAGCCATTTACTGGCACCAAAGTAGTTGAAGAAAGTAAAATTTTATCTGCAATTTGTAAAGCAAGGGATCAGGCAGCTGTTGCTCAAATTCTTTTTCTTTTTTTTTTTTTTGAATTTGTATGGGCTTATTTTTGATTTTTAAATTTATTAATTGTAGCTGATGTTAACATAGTTGATCAGGGTGGGATGGATCAAGGGTTAGGGAAACGTGGGTGAGATCATTGTTTCCAAGTTTTGTTTCTCTTTCTTGTTTCAGGGGAGGGAGATGAGGGGAACGACAAGGGGGAAGCCATAGGCAGCCTCCCAACTCTCCAGTACCCAGTGGTGGAAAATGGTCACTCGATATCAAGCCAGAGTCCCAACGTGGCACATACTCCGAGTGTTCTGCCCACGTGGTTTTGATAGTCCTGAAATGTGGATCTCACCAATGCAAAGATGAGGGAATCCTTTCAATGCCCATTGGCTGATATGGTTGGCCTCAGAGTCTCCATTCACCCAGATATTTGCTGTCATCATTAGGTGGGGGGTAGTTGTCCAATTTGTTCTGTCCTCCTTCTGGGATGGTGGAGATGTCCCCTGCAGGGCTCAATGGGCTGCTATATCCTCCATGTGGACCTGGGTAAGCAGTCCACTACTTCATCTTTTCCACTGAGGAGGACCAGTTCTTGCAGGTGGCCAAGTACCCTAAGGAGGCGACAAGGGCGCCCACTGGACCCACTGCTCCTGAGGCTCACAAACCTGGCCCTCACCGCACAGTGGGCTAGGGACCACCTCTAGGGCTCATGGACCTGGAGCCCACTGCACTGACAGGCCAAGGACCCAGGTCAGGTGACCCGGGCCCTGTTGGACCCCCAGTCCCCGTGGCTCATGGACCTGGCCCCCATGCAAGTAGGCCAAAGCCCTAGGCTTGGCAACCAGGGTCCTATCGGAACCCTCACCCTGGGGCTCATGGACCTGGTCCCTACTGTGCACAGGTGGTTAAGGACCCAGGTCAGGCGACTAAGTTCCTGCCAGACTCCCACACCTGAGGCTCAAGGGCCTGGTACCCACCACACAGGTAGGTCAAGGACCCAGGCCAGGCAACCAGGGCCCCAACAGACCTGCCACCTCTGAGGTTCATGGGCCTGGTAACCACTGTACAGGTAGGTGGGCCAAGGATCCGAGCCAGGCGATCCAGGCCCTGCTGGACCCCTAATTCTGGGGCTTACAGTCTCAGCCCCCACTGTGTTGGTGGGCCAAAGACATAGGCAACGTGGCCCAGGTCCTGCCAGACCCACAATCCCTGAGGCTCATGGGCCAGGCACCCACCACACAGGCAGGTCAAGGACCCAAGCCATGTGACCAGGACCCTGCTGTGTCCCCTACGCCTGAAGGATCATGGACCTAGCACACACTGCACAGGTGGACCAAGGACCTGGGCCAGGCGACCAGGGCACCACTGAGCCTGGTACTTACCATGCAGGAACTGAGCCAGGCAGCCCAGGCCCTCCTGAACGTCCCACTCCCAGGGATTATGGACCCAGCACCCACCCACCCCTGACTGGCATGGTTTGCCTCACCTTGGCATCTACTAGCTGGTGCTGTAGCCTGGCTTGGTCCAGCCTGCCTCCAGTTCCAGTTTGTGGTGGTGGGTTCTGAAGCCAAGCCAGGGCCAGTCAGCCCCCTGTCCTGGCCCTGACATGAACTGGCTGGTGCTGTGGCCCATCCTGGACCCTCCTGCATCCTGTCCCGGTTCTCAGATCTGCATGCCCTGCTCAAATTTTGATGTCTCCGACAGATACAGGCAGTGACTCTTGGAAAACAGGATCAGCTTTGGGTACTTGTGATTGGCCCACAATGTTAGTGGCTGTCCTTAGCCTGATCAAGATGACTGGGCCAATGTGCTTCTTTGGTAATGGCAGAGACAAGCTCCATCTGCCCATGGGTAGTTAGGTGTATTACTTTCATCTGAGCCTACTCGTGCCTGTGGCACCCCCACAACAGAAGCTACCGTGGAGATGTAGGGTGTGAGGAACAGGGGATTGGAGCCTGCAATCCAGGGCCTTAGCTAAGCCTAAGCCTGAGCCTCTGGCTGAATTTCAAATTTCATGACTGAATCTGTGCAGAGGAACTATAAGCTCTGGGCCAGAGACTGGGACCTGATAACATCTACATCACAAGCACCGAGGTAAGGGCTCAGCTTCAAATTCTTTCCCAATATAGATTTTCTATATTAGGGACTGAACTCTCCGAATTACAATGTTCCTATTTCAATGTTTCTCTCCTCTTGTAGGGAGTGCAGTGGCTGAAGAATCCAACTTAGGACTCAGGTTCTTAGCATCAAAAAGCTGAGGATGTGCAAAGGGCCCCAATGCATCCACCAATCTCAAAGCATGCACCTGTCCAAGAAACAGCACTTCCTGACCTGCAGCCATTAGCTATTGGTCATAACCTCCCGTCTCTCCCACTCCTTCATGTGATAGCATGTCACCAAAGGTCACCAACCATCAGTGATCCATCAGCCACAAGCCTGGGGGGCTGCAAACAGCAAACCAGAATTCTGACCTAGCAGGTACTTTCAGATCCACTTTATTCAGTCATGGTTTCTTTTCATTTGGCACAAGGGCAAAAGAAAAATGTAAGGGCTGTGTTTAAGCCTGTTTATTAGCAGGTGACGCCTCCTGATAAGGCAGTCAGCCTAGATCAGCTCTGCACAAGATCTGCAACTATGTGGTGTCAACAAAAGGAAGCTGCTCTTTATTCCAGAAATAGCACTTACAAAAGAACGAGCTGGGTGCTAATTAGAAAGAGGCAGGGCTGGCTTAGTGATGTACTCGTTCAACGTACCCACCCACCCTGATGACGCTGCTTTCTTACAACATGCTACAGAGACCAACTCTGCATGTATGTGTGCCTGAAAGGTGTCACTCCACAACACAGTAAGACCAAATAAGCATCTTACATCATTTTACTGGGGGGGAAAAATGATCCTTTGAATCCCAGTGCAAGATGAATACTTGTCCAAGATGAATTTTGCAGATGTGACAAAACCAGAAATATGCAGGCTGGGCCTGGCGGGCTGTCCGTGACTGCAGGGAGCGATCAGGCTGAGTGGACTGGGGTTCCGCAGTGTTTGTGCCATAAGTCGATGGCCTTGCTCACGATGGCATCCGAGCTGTCCTGTGGAATCTATGGACAAGGACACCAGTGAGATGCTGGGGCTTACAAGTACAGTCTCTTCCTGCATCCACTGTTCTTCAGAAAAGTGTGTACGAAGGCTTGTTTTTTCTTGCCATTTCAGCACACACAGGGGGCTGTGGCATCACACTGCCCATGCTGCATCCTGCAGCAGATGTGTGCCCACGGGCAGTTGAACCTAACAGGATGTCAGAGCCCCATGACAAAGCAGGAGAAATGATTGTCCCTTCAAAGCGCTGTTTATAGGAGGAAAGAAGACAGCCACTGACAAACACCAAGAACAGGCCGTGGCACTGTGAGCCATGAATAATTACGATGATGATAATGCATTTATCCAGCAGGTGTTCACTTGATATTTATTATTTGCCAGGCCTGTGTTCAAATGCTCATACTAATTACAAAACAAAAGAATAACTGGCAGGTGCCGTGGGATCGTTCCGGCACAGGTCTCTTCCTTAGGAGAGGGTATGGTAGGATACACCAAGAGGACAGGCTGAGGCATTGGGGCCTTTCTCAGCAGACAAAAAGTGAACGCTTAAGCACATGTGAAAATCTGAACAGGGACCACCCCAGGGATTGCCACAAGAATGAAACCGTGTAGAGCAAGCCCTCACTGTTCTACAGGATGCTGCCCCATTGCAGGACAAATAAAGAACAAAGCCAATTACGATCTTAAGGTAATACAATGTCAGGGTTTCTTCTGCTCGGACAAAAGCCAGCGATCTCACCTCTTGCTTTCCTGCTGAGTAGGCAGGCAGTCCTAGGGGACTCAGTCCTGCTTGATCTTTGCGATTCCCACAAAGGAATCATGCAAAGAGAGAAGGCGAACTCTCATGCATGCAGCAACGGTAAGCCCAAAATTTTCAAGGGAGAAAAATGTTATTTATAACGGAAAATTATAATGTGCTGTTTCTCTGAAATGTTTAATGCAGAAGATCTGGCTGGCTATGCTGACTTCATTTCCAGTTCTGAAACCAAACTGAATCAAGCAAACTTACATTTTCCAGAAACTGTGTTATCTTTTCTGCACTGTTCAGTGCCATCACTTTTATTTTAAATGTTAATAAAATTTCTACAGCGACAAAAACCAGGATCTTACAGGATCCACTGACAACTTTATCCCAAACCCTAGAAAAGAAGGAGACAGAATTACATTTGAAATTCATGTTTATGCACCTAAAACTACAAAATAAAAACACATTACTCCTATTTTTAGTGGTTCCTCAATATGCATGGCGGCTCAGACCCCTTTTATAAAATGATGCAGTAATTGCACATAACCCATGCATATTTTCCAGTATATTTTTTAAAATAAAAATATTTATTTTTATTTGAAAAGAAGATTTACAGAGGGGAGAGACAAGAGACAGCTTCTGTCTGCTGGATTGCTCTCTTAAATGGCCACAATGGCCAGGGTGAGCCAATCTGAAGACAGGATCCAGGAGCCTCTTCAGGGACTCAAGGACTTGAGACATCCTCTGCTCCATTCCCAGGCCATAGTCAGGGAGCTGGACTGGAAGTGGAGCAGTTGGGACTAGAACTGGTACCCACTTGGGAAGACAACATTGCAGGTAGGCAACCAGCCTTCTGAGCCACCACACCAGTCCCAGTCATGCTTTTAGCACCTCTAGGTTATTCATAACCTAGTCATCTAATTACTTATCTAATGCTACAGTTACCACTATTTTTTATTTTTCTCATTAATAGTACATAACTGTGTTTATTGTTCTTTTCCTTTAAATAATTCTGGCTTCTAGTTAGTTGAATCCATGGACATGGGCCAATCTATTATCTAAACTTCTACTATAAATATTAATAAAAAAAATCAAGGGGTGGGCATCTAGCCAGGTAGTTAAGACACTGGTTCAAACTCCTGCTTCTTAGCTAAGAGTCCCTGGGTCCTGACTCCTGTTACGCTGGGAGGCGGCAGTAATGAACACAGCAGTTGGGCTCCTCCCACACATGTTGGAGACTAGATGAGGTTCCCAGCTCCTGCTTTGGTCTTGGCCCCAACCTGGCCATTATAGGGCAGTTGGGAGTATACTCTGTTTCTGAGATAAATATTTAAATTAAAAAAAAATCAGATGAGCTACTTGGAATCTACTCTGGATAAGATGGGCATAAGTAGGGGAAAAAATTCACTAAAGATTACTGCTGCACCAGAAATGACCAAATGCCCATTTCCTCATGTTGAAAACCCTGTGTTCTGTGAGAAGGACAGAAGGTCCTCAGCCAAAGTTTATATTTTGCTAATATCCAGGAATGCTGAAGGCTGCAGGCTGAGGAACTACAGCACTCACAAAGAAGAAAAAAACATATGAAAGGAAATAAATCCAATTTCATTGCCGCTGATTCTAGGACACAGTGCTTCATCTCGCCTAAGGGCTGAAGGAGTTAGTGATTCATCTTCAACCATGCTAAAAAAAATTATTTTGAATAATGCCTGCAACTCTTAAAGTTGGTATTATGTTTTGTAAGTTTAGTGACATTGTCTTGGGATGGTCTCCCTCTGTTGTCTTTGTTTTCAACTACATCATCAACTCTTGGAGACCAAGGACCATAACTCAGTTAATACTCATCAAACACATGTCTGAGATGAACTAGAAAAGCTAAGTTTGATCTCTTCAACAGCTTTTAGCTCCCTGAAAGATGTCTTGATGAAACAAAGACATACCAACATTCTTACTGGCCTGCGGCAGGGAGGTTTCTGGGAAAGAGGAGCTCGTGATCATTTGGACGGCATCAGATGTGATCATGTTAAGCATCTCCCACATGAGGGCTCTCAATCCTTTCAACAGTACATGCAATAAGCAGAATCACGGGCTGTTACTGTGGCTGCCAGAGAGATCAGCTCCAAATCACCACACTGTTAGAAGCAAATTTATTTTCTAAGGGATGGCCATGTGAAAGTCCAACCCTTCAAAGATTGTGCCAATGAATTACTTACCTCTGCAAGCTGGACTCGGGCAAACATCCTGCGAAGCACCTCTTGAACCAGAGATCGTAAGGAAGCTTGGACACCGCAGAACACGTGTTCAGATGCCCCAGCAGTCTGCTCTCTTCCAGATTCAAGTACTGTTCAAACACCTTCGGCTACAGATTGAACAGGAGAAGAGGTTGCTAACTTCCTGGGATTTAGCATTGTTCTCTACTACAACCTAGTATGGCAAAAATGTATAGGCAGAATTCCAAGATAGTGCTAGAAAACAAAACTCTAGAATCCTCCAAGTCACTTGTGACACAGCAGTTTCTAAAGTCAGCGCTAACAAGAATAGCCAACCATCTAGGGCTCGTATTTCCAGCATGCTGGACTCCTTCACTGCTACCACTACACAGCCCCATGCAATGGGAAGCTTTGTCTGACACCAACCACACTAACCTGATTCTACTTCTGGACAAAACTCTAACATAAAATTCAAGTGTTCTAAGGAGCCAAGATGGATCTAGATTAGTGGATTCTTTCTATAGCCATAGAAAAGGGAAAAGGAGAGCAAAACCAAAAGCACAGTGGAGCTGGGGTAGGGAGAGGGAGCAGCAAGAGTGAGGCAGTGAAGAGAAGGGGGTTTATCAGTTGCTCTCCACACGTATCTGTGTTATATCACGCAAATGATACCAGTGCCAACAAGGATCCTGTAACAGGGATGTCTAAATGGTGAACTCTACCCAATACAAATATGTGTGAGACTCTCTTGGAAATTGAATTTAAACTAAATACACAATTTAGTGTTTTTCTCTCCCTCTTTTTTTTTTTTTTAATGATTTACTTATTTGCATTGGAAAGTCAGATGTAAGAGAGGAAGATCTTCTGACCTCAAGTGGCTACAACGACTAGAGCTGAGGTGATCCAAAGCCAGGAGCCAGGAGCCTCTTCTGGGTCTCCCACACAAGTGCAGGGTCCCAGGGCTTTGGGCTGTCCTTTTCTGCTTTCCCAGGCCACAGAGAGCTACATGGGAAGCGGGGCCTCCAGGATTAGAACCAGTGGCCATATGGGATCCTGGCACCTGCAAGGCAAAGACCCCACTGCTAGGCTACCATGCCGGCCCTAGTGTTACGCTTTTGGCACACAAAACATTATACACAATATCTCAGGTTATTAAACAACTTAAAGGACTGATATTTATAAATATAGCCTCAAAAAATATCCAGAAGAATGGGGGAAAAACAGCTCTACAAAAAAAAAAAGAAAGAAAGAAAGAAAAAAAGCATGTGGCTCTTTTTCATATGAAATGATGAAATGTACAACCTTGCTTACAATGAAACAAATGCAACCTAAAATTGAAGTATCATTTTTTTTTTTAACTATCAAAATGACAGGGCCTGGTAAAACAGCTTAGTAACTAAATCCTTGCCTTGCACCCGCTGGGATCCCATATGGGCACCAGTTTGTACGCCAGCAGCTCCGTTTCCCATCCAGTTCCCTGCTTGTGGCCTGGGAAAGCAGTAGAAGATGGCCCAAAGCCTTAGGACCCTGCACCCGTGTGGGAGACCTAGAAGAAGTTCCAGGCTCCTGGCTTTGGATTGGCTTAGCTCTGGTCATTGCGTCAACCTTGGGAAATGACCCTGCAAAATGAAGATTTTTCTATATCTCCTCTCTCAATATCTGGTTTCCCAATTTTTTTTAAAAAAATTAAAATTAAAAAAAAAACAAAAAAAGAAGGAGCAAAGATTATATTTTTAAAAAATGACAGAAATCTAAACAACAGCTTGAGCTAGCAAGACAATAGGAAACAAGCGGTAAGGAAATGATCTATTGGTTATGAGAACACAAGAGTATTAAGCTGTAGAAGGAGAATCTGAAATATTTTGCAAAATAATATACACATGTTCTGTCAGATCCAGCCAACTGAATTCTAGGAAGTCGATTGTGAAGCCCCTGCAACGAGAGATGTTCTGATGTAATGTTATGAAACAGAACGCCACAGATCGGTGAATACACTGTTGTTCAGAGGTGCTCTTCTCATGCCAACCAGGGATCACTATTGTGGTACACTGGGTTAAACTGTGTCTGTGACACCCACGACCCCATATTAGCATCAAGCGCTGGCTGCTGTGCTGCTAACGCAGCTTCTTGCTAACGCACCTAGGAAAGCAGAAGAAGGGCCAAGTGCTTGGGCCCTTGCCACCTGCATGGGAGATCTGCATAGAGTTCCTGGCTCCTTATTTTAGTCTGGCCCAGCCTGACTCATTGCAGCACCTGAAGAGAAAAAACAGCAGATGGAAGATCTGTTTCCCCTCCCCCGTTTCTAACTCAACTTCCAAATAAATAAGCAAATGAATCTTAAACAAATCTATCTTGAGTTGGCTTTGTGGCACAGCCGCTTAAGCAACCACTTGCCATGCCCACAACCCATGTTAATTACATCACCAGCGCATTTCTCAGCTGCTCCACTTGGAAGACAGCTTCCTGCTAGTGCACCCAGGAAGGCAGCGTATGATGGCCCAACGACTTGGCTCTTGCCACTCACGGGGGAGAGCTGGATGAAGGTGTTGGCTCCTGGCTTTGGCCTGGCCTAATTCCAGCTGTTAGTGGGCATTTCGGAAGTGAAGCAAACGAGGATTTTTTTCTTTCTCTCCCTCCTTCTCTGTCACTCCTTCAAATTAAAAAAAAAAAACCAAAATCCTAAAAAGTATACTCCATCACATATTTCCTTAGAACTATAAATCAGTCTGTAATAACATTTTTATTTGGTCAAACCACAAAATATGTCAAGCTAACTAAATTATAGAAATTCCATGATAACAAGCTAAAAGGAAGAGATTTATTATACAATAATAATTTTTAAAAATTTAAGATAGACTAACATGACTCTTAGAAAAAAAGTTCAAACGAATCAGCAAATGCCTGCATCCAGCAGAAGGGAAATATAGCTTTTCCCTCTCACTGTGAACATTCTTTTTTTTTTTGGAAAATGTCACACTAGGGCCTGGTGGCGTGGCCTAGTGGCTAAAGTGCTCGCCTTCAACACGCCAGGATCCCTACCTGGGCACTGGTTCTAATCCTGGCATCCCTGCTTCCCATCCAGCTCCCTGCTTGTGGCCTGGGAAAGCAGTCGAGGATGGCCCAAAGCCTTAGGAACCTGCATCCACATGTGAAACCTAGAGGAGGTTCCTGGCTCCCGGCTTCGGATCGGCGCAGCACCGGCCATTGCGATCACTTGGGAAGTGAATCATTGGCCCGGAAGATCTTTCTCTCTGTCTCTTCTCCTCTCTGTATATCTGATTTTCCAATAACAATACATAAATCTTAAAAAAAAAAAAAGAAAAGAAAATGTCATACTATTTAAAGCCAACGACCTAGGCACTATACTGTATATACTAAAAATCTTGGCCCTTTTTAAAGATCAAGAAATGAAGGTTTAAGGAACATAAAGCATTTTGCTGTTGCTAAGAATCATTTCTAAAAAGAAAGTTCAAGCATGGCCAAGACAGTTTTCCAAAGTGTATTTTTATCTACTTGAAAGACAATAAAAGTAAATACACCTTTAAACATATATCCTTTTATCTGCGGGTTCACTCCTCATATATCATAATGGGATGGGTCAGGCTGAAACCAGGAGGCAGAAATGTCATTTGTGTCTGCCATGTGGATGGCAGGGGCCTCCGTAACTGAGCCATCAGCTGCTGCCTTCCCAGACGTAACGGTAGCGGGGCAGGTGGGAAATGAAGCAGCAGGGACGCAAACCAGCTGAGCATGGATGCCAGCATCACAAGCAGCTGCTCGATTTACTGGGTCACAGCAGCAGCCCCTAGTCAAGATACTTCTGCAGAAGAACAATAAGGCCACCCAGCTAGCAACGTGCACTAGAAACACATATTGAACTGCTTGGTATTGGCCTAGGAATAGACACAGGAATGTAGTAAAGGATACAGATACAGTCACTTGTCACTTCATGATGTTTCTGTCAACAACAGACTTTAAGTATGACAGTGATCCTATTTGACTCCATTGCCTAGCGATGTCCTGGATTACTTTAAGTGTAATTTAGCATGTTCACATGACAAAATCCACCTAATGGTGAAAATCTCAGAACGTATCCCTGTTACGTGACGCGTGGCTAAATCTATGGGAAATGATACAAAGTAAAGGTGGCATTCAAATCTGTGGGACAGAATCAACTGATGAGCAGAAAGAGTTGTGGTTCTAACTGCTTACTCTATATGCTCTGGGCAAATCACTTCCGATCTGTAGAAACATGGCGTACACCTGAGTGAAATGACTCATTAATACAGCAAAGCCGGCACTGCCTGACTCGAAGTAGGTTCTTGGCAACATGCTTGCCAGCGAGAGAGAAAGCAGGAGTGCTGACACGTTGGCAGGAGGTAGGGGGTAGCAAGGCATGAGGGGGAGTAAAACCCACATGTGTTTGACATTGATGGCAAAGATAAGACTTTGAGAAATACACAACCACATTTAAAATGTGTGAACAAGGTCAGCGCGTTGGCTCAACTGGCTAATTCTCCACCTCCAAGTGGCCTCATTCCAGACGGGCAGGGGTTCGTGTCGCAGTTGCTCCACTTCTCATCCAGTGACTGGTGTAGGGCCTGGGAAAGCAGCGCAAGATGGTGGGGACCCTGCACCTGCCTGGGAGGCCCGGAAAAATCGCCTGGCTCCTGGCTTAGGATCGGCTCAGCTCTGACTGTTGCAGCTATTTGGAGAATGAACCAGAGGATGTGAAGATCTTTCTCTGGGTCTTTTATTCTCTCTGTAAAACTGCATTTCCAACAAAAATAAATAAATTAAAAAAAAAATCAGATCCACAGACCTGTTACAAAAAAATAAAGTAAGATGTGTGAACTGTCTGCAAAGTAGGGTGAAAACACATCATTTCTATCTTTGGGTGGAAAAGAACTCATTAAGTAACATACAAAAAGGAAAAGGGAAACACTGGTAAATCCCATCATAACAGAACTTACCATCTTTCCAACAGGAAGAGAGAAAGTATTTTCGATATAACACAGAAGGGACGAAAACTGAGGGCATACAACAAACTTTGACAAACAACAACCGAAAAAGCTGACAAAATAAGAAACGTGGATAGCTGCTTGATTTAACTAGAAACCGAGGCTGCAGAAATTAAAAGGCGATACCGTTTTCATTACCAGGTGGACAAAAAGTGGAAGAGACTGATACCATCAAGTACTGGCAATGGGGCGGAAAACAAAACCAAAGAAATCTCAGTACCTGTTGGGTGCAGCATAAACTGACACGGCCTGTGTACGAATGACCTGGCAGTTGAGAATTCAAGTATGTCAGAAATGTTTCGAATAGGCCTCCTCTCCCTTTCAAACATTTCCTTACAGACACGTGCCTAGACAAACAGAGAGTGTGTTCCAGAGCGTGGCAACTCTCAGCATAGGACTGCCCGCTTTAAGGCAGATCCGTAACAGGAAATACTAGGAGTACATTTTTAAGTGGTTCTAAATGAGTGGTTCTCAAACCAAGCCAAGCTTCAGAATTGCCTGGAGCTTTCAAAACCGAATTACAGCTTCATTTCTTTCCTTCTGGGCAGGTCTCGGTGGAGGAAGAAAGGTGATGGCCATTTCTAAAACCGCTCAAGTGAAAGTCAGGACTAAAAACTATTGACTTATCTTGATGTAACGCTCTGGAAATCTTTCCCAGTTGTTAGGTTAAAAATAAAACCAAAAGAAAAGAGCATAGGGCCATACGTTGGGTTTATTTTCTGTGTTTTTTTTTTTTAATTTACTGGACATATACTTGGAAGAAAGGGCTTACCAACACATACACTAAGCTGCTGACAATACTTGGTTCTCAGAAAGAGGGACCAAGTCAAAGCTGAGTAGACCCACATCTGCTCCATTTCTTGGGAGAATACCTTTGTCCATCGCTTGCATCACCCAAAATAATGCGCTTCCTCAGCCTGGCATATATTGTCAGAATACGACTTCCTCTCGCATTAATGAAGAAACGCTAACTAAAGCATGGCATAATTGAGACATCCTGATTTAATTAGGCAACTAGTGTAAGTTTACTTATGCTGCACTTCCACGCTGAAGTTATTGTTATTGAAATCAACCAAGTGGATCAAATTTCAAAATCTTAAAAGCCAAGTTCTACTTTCGTGAACTGCATAAACACTGCTCTCACCTAAGGCCTGCGGGCTTGACTGCGCAGTGCAGGAGTAGCTGAGGCAGGCTGGCGAGCAATCACTAGTGTCCCCGACCCTGATGACCCCCTCATCCCACCTGCATCCCAGAACCACTTGGAGCAGCGTTCACATGAAGCAATTCAATGACTTAAGAGAAAGGACAAGTTAATTTTTTACTAAGCAGTTGAATAAGAGGGAAAAATGTGGAGAAAAGCGAACGGCAAAGCAATACTGCCCCCCGCCTTGAAGCAGGCATCATTCAGCGATCTGAGACCCTTTGCCTGAGGTCAGCGGGACAGCAGCTGCTAGATGCCCATCCACTCCCCTCCTTCATTAACACAATTCCTATGCTGATGGGAGATCACAATGTACCAGGCTTTAAAAACCTGTTTCCCAACCTCCACCATTAAGAGTCTGCCAAGTGGGGCTCGGCGGCGTGGCCTAGCAGCTAAAGTCTTCACCTTGAACGCGCCGGGATCCCATATGGGCACCGGTTGTAATCCCAGCAGCTCCACTTCCCATCTAGCTCCCTGCCTGTGGCCTGGGAAGGCAGTCGAGGACAGCCCAAAGCTTTGGGAAGCTGCACCCGTGTGGGAGACCTAGAAGAAGTTCCTAGATCCTGGCTTCGGATCGGCATAGCATCGGCCGTTACACTCACTTGGGGAGTGAATCATCGGATGGAAGATCTTCCTCTCTGTCTCTCCTCCTCTCTGTATATCTGACTTTCCAACAAATAAATAAATCTTAAAAAAAAAAAAGGTCAGCCAAGTGACACAGTCCTCTCCACAACTGCATGTGCAGAAGAAAGACCTGCTACTGGTGACAGACTTCACTGCCCTGTCACTTTTACTCTCTTCACTCCCATGTTTGTCCTTTCCTTCCACTCTGCACTGCACACAAATGCCATGGTCACTGCTCCAGCAACTGCTGATGAATTTGAGAAGAAAGATCATATCTTAAAATGCCAGGGTCACAGCTTAGCATCTGGGGCCTTGGCCACACATGGCCCTGTCTCACCAGTTCCGGATTTACCTTGGATTTCTGGATATATAACAGAAGTCAAACAACTTCTGTACTAATAAGAAGGGATTTTTTCTAGATAAAGCCAGTGGATTCTAGGTCAGAATAAGAAATACTAAAGGGCAGCATTTGGCAAACTTGAGCCTGCACCAAGGCCAATCCAGCCAGGACCATTCTTTTATACACTGCCCATAGCTGCTTCTGTGTCCAGTAGTCAAGTGGTTTCCATAGAGACCATCCGGCCTGCCAAGCTGAAGTAATTATTAAATGGCCACTAACAAAAGACATTTGCCCTACTATAGATTGTCCATTCTGAGAAGCCCACAGTGCCACAGCCCGCCCTCTAACAGCCACAAGAAAACCAGCTCTCACCAATTGGGGCAAAGCATCCCGGTACTTAGTATTGAGTTGGTTCACAAAGCAGCGGGTGATCCAGTAACAGTCCACAGTGTCTTCCACCATCTCTTCCATGGCTTTGGCAATGGCGACAAACACTTCATCTTCTGGCTCCTAAGAGATTCATAAAAAAAAATGTATAGCCAAGAACATACATTTCTCTGATTAAAAAATAAATAAATAAATAAACCTTCTAGATTTTGAAGAGATGCAATTTAAAATGTGGGATCCATATACCAAGCCCATCACAAAAGATCAAGGATGCGAACTCGACAGAAATCAGTGCTGCTTAGGAACCCTGAGGTCTTGGACCGGTGGAGGCAGAGCCTCTCCAACCTCTGACGCTAGCCCAACACATGGTCTGCCCTCCACAAGGCATTCTCCACGTCCTTTCTTTTTTTTTTTTTTTTTTATTATTATTGTTGCTTACTTTGTATTATGTAGTACAGCTCCATAGGCGCTGGGAATTCCCCCCACCCCTCCCACACCCCTCCCCCCATGGTGGATTCCTCCACCTTGTTGCATAACCATAGATCAAGTTCAGTTGAGATTCATTGCTTGCAAACACATGCCTAGCATAAAGTTCCGTGTCCTATGAGTGCAGGCCCAGGGCCGATGGGACTGAAGTGGACAGCAGGGGCCAGGGACATGAGTACAGGCCAGGCGCAGGCGGGCCCGAGGTTGGATCATGAGAGGCCCTGTCTGTGACCCAGTATGTCTTCTCTTAACCTGGCCCTGATGGTGATGCCTTCGCTGCCCTTGTGGCAGGGGCCTGCAGGGGCCTCCTGGTGCAGTGATGCCCAGAAGGAGGCAAGAGCGTGGGGGGCCCTGACACCCATCCAGCCACGTGTTTCCTGGTGCCTGCCTTTGCTGTGTGGTGGAGCTCCACGTCCTTTCAAAAGCGCATGATAAACAGCACAAGAATAACGAGAGATACCTATCAATATAATAACCTACAAATATTGAAGGACTCCAAAAGGAATAGTACAACATTTTGAAGCAATCACATACTTTTAGATTGTGTTGTGTCTCTAAGCAGTTAAGAGATTTTGAATGATGTCCTACCTTTAAACAAATTATATTCTATCCTTAAAAAGTTTAGATATACTTAGAATCAGAATTTTAGGAATCAAATATATGACATTTCTCAAATCTTACGTCAACACTCAGAATATAAACCTGAAGTAAATTTCAACAGAGAAATATTAACAGACTGGACCCTATGAGAAAATCTATTTTCAAATACAGAAAATCTCTCTTCAAATACCATATCATATACAATAAGTATTATATTTTCATCCAGTTTTAATGGCCAAAGGATTTTAATGATGAAAAGAAGCGAACAAGTATCTTGGTATTCCCCTGAAAAATTCTCAGTTGAAATTCCTGCTAAGGATTTCATTCTTAGGGCATCTTTCAACTTGGCAATATTCTGCAAAAGGTCCAGAATAACACAGATAGAGGAAATAAACCTGTCAGCATCTTAGTAATGAAAAGGGAAGGCAAGATACCCCTCCCAAGACAGCCAGGTGACACACGCCACTGACTGCTCCTGGTCACTCCAACGGGTCAGTGGAAGAGGACCAATGTCCTTCAGTGGATCCCATTCCTGGCCCTGTGCCGAATGCTGTCACACAGCCTTAAGAAAGAAAAAGAAAATGAGCTGACAGGTCCCAGGGACAGAGGAGACTAGAACCAAAATCAGACACCAGGGTGGCACATCTGCTTGGTAGTGCACAGAGGACCCTGGCTCAGAGCCGGGGTGTGGCAGAGTTATAACCTGGCATTCAGTTTCTCACAGCAACTGACTCTCTAACCTTATTATGCAATATAAAAAGGTCAATGAATGGGCCCAGTGCAGTGGCCTAGCAGCTAAAGTGCTTGCCTTGAAAGTGCCAGGATCCCGTACAGGCGCCGGTTCTAATCTTGGCAGCCCCGCTTCCCACCCAGCTCCCTGCTTGTGGCCTGGGAAGGCAGTCGAGGATGGCTCAAAGCCTGCACCCGCATGGGAGGCCTAGAGAAGGGAGGCCTAGAGAAGCTGATCCTGGCTTTGGATCAGCTCAGCTCTGGCCGTTGCAGTCACTTGGGGAGTAAATCATCGGACCGGAAGATCTTCCTCTCTGTCTCTCCTCTCTGTATTTCTGACCCTGCGATAAAAATAAAATAAATCTTAAAAAAACAAGGTCAATGAAACTCTTTACTTTGTCTAAGATAAATGAAACCTAAAGGGGACTGAAAAAATTCTACTTACTTTTAGTGATTGTATCTTTAGATAAACTAGATGATTTTTTTACCAATTATTTAAAGATTTTTTTTTTATTATTTTTTTATTGGAAAGGCGGATATACAGATAGGAGAGACAGAGAGGAAGATCTTCCGGCCGATGCTATGCCGATCCGAAGCCAGGAGCCTCTTCCGGGTCTCCCAAATGGGTGCAGGGTCCCAAAGCTTTGGGCTGTCCTTGACTGCTTTCCCAGGCCACAGGCAGGGAGCTGGAAGGGAAGCGGGGCTGCTGGGATAGAACTGGCGCCCATATGGGATCCCAGGCGTGCAAGGCGAGGACGTTAACCACTTGCGCCATCGCGCCGGGCCCTTTACCAATGATTAATTTCCAAAAGTCAAAAGTTAATCTGCAATAAAAATAGATTTGAAGGGAAGGCATGTGCCACAAGGGTGAAGTCCCCGCATGGGACACCCACAGCCTGTCTGAGTCCAGGTGCCTGAGGCTGTGCCCCCCAGGAGGCAGCAGAAGATGGCTCAAGCCCTCAGGGTGTCCGCCACCCAGCAGAGACTGAACTGAGCTCTGAGCCTCTGGCCCCGGCCTGCCCTGGGCCTAGGTACTGTACGTACTTTGGGAGTAAGTCAGCATTTCTTTCTTCTCTGTCTTTGTGCCTTGCAAATAAATTTTAAAAAGAAAAAGGCAGTTTGGAACCTGTGACAATAAGGCTGGATAAATACACAATACCCAGAATGGGGCAGACACTGACACTGGGGTTGCAGCTAGGCACTAAGGGTGCAGAGGAGCCACAGGCTGGGCCTTGGGTGGCTAGAGCTGCGGGGTGCACTAAGAATAAATACAGAAGTAAATATGCCAAGGAAAACGGGAGCCTTTTCGCACATGCAACTGTTAGAGGTGATTCCAGACCTGATTCTTGTGTGAATTTGCTAGTACAGGGTCCGGCACAGTCCATAGCCCCACTCAACTGGTGGTTGCAATTGCTGGGTCAGTTCTGTTTCCAGCCCTGTCTTCCACATGAACCAATAAGTGTTGTAGTCCAGCCTGATTCTGCCCAGCACATACTCGGCCCTCACACAAACCAGTGGGAGCTGCAGCCTAGTTGGAGCCATCCACAATAACCCCCATCAGGCTTGCCCCCTACCCTGGTTCCCATGCTTGCCAGTATGTACAGCAGACTAGTTCAGTCTGTACCACATCCCACTTGGCTCTCCTACATGTCAATGGGCATTGAAGGCTAGTTCCACCCAACTAGGCTCACTATCCAGCCCACACATATTCTGGTCGATGCTGTTCTGTCCAGCCACATCTGCCCCAGACACTGGAAACCTCTTTCTTATAGAAGAATGCCAAGTAATACATTCAGGACTTAGAAAAATCACCAAACGGCAACAAGTATAATAAAAATGGTATAAAGTTTGAATCATTAGTGGGTGGATATTTATATGCAATCAAAGAATCTCTCCAAAGTTACTTACTAATTATAGATGGGGTTAAAAGTAGCCTTACAGTAGAGAAACCTGGCCAACCCCACCCTAAGCAAGAGATCAAAGCTACAGGTTTCATAGTTCTAAGGTATTCTTGCCAATAATGCATGACCAGATTCCAGTCACAATAAGTCATCAGATGAACCTGAGCTGAGCCATGCTTCATTGGACAGCCCTTTTTAAAAGTCAGAAAGACAAGGAAGTCGGAGAAATTATGCCAGGTTAAAGGAGATTAAGACATGGCAACCAAGTGTAATGATCCTGGAACCCAAACAAGGGCATCCATGGGGTGATTAGCAAATTTCAGGGACATCTGTAGATGAGTTTCACATACTGAATCAATGCCAATTTTACTGCAATCTTGTAATACAAGAGAATGTTGGGTACATGGGGACACCGTAGTGCTTTTGTAACTTTCCTCTACCTCCAAAACTGCTGTACATTTTTTTTTTAAATCGCCAAAAAATGGTATAAAACGCATGAGTGAGCGTTTAATAAAAGAAATAAAACATTTACATGGTGGTTCTGAAGTATCTCCCCCCAGGGGAAACAGTGATTACAAAGGGGAAAATGTAACTTTCCAGAGGAAAGCCCCAGCAGGCAGCACCTTGACCAACTGCCTTCAGTGGGACTCCACCCCACACACCCTGCTGGTGACACTGAGGAGGCAGCAGCGTCTGTGAGATGGCCCAGCCCATAGTGAACAATCTAAATCTAACGAGGAGGGGCTTTCTGCAGGACCCTGAAAAATGCCAAGGGTGTGGAAGAGAAAATGAAGGAGTTGTCCGGGATTCAAGGATACCAGAATAGAACTTAAGAACAAATCATCAGCAAGAATGTTCAGTTTCTTTGTGATAAACAGCATAACTGGGACAATCCTCATTGGGACAAATTTGCATGAGTCCACAGACTCCATGTTAATATTGTCTCAGTGTTAATACCTTGGTGTTGATGACTGAACCATGGCTGTCTGCATGACCAGGAAGGAAGTATACACTAAAGGAAGTATACACTAAAGGAATCTGAGGCATTGGGCCATCACATCTGCACCTTACTCTCAAATGGTTGAGAAAAAGAATGAATTGAATATATACAGGAAAAAAATGACAAAGCTGTGGTCATACTAACAACTGGGGATTCCAGGCTAGTATTCTTGCCAACTGTTCTATGAATTTGAAATTATAATCATAGATCTGAGCATTAATGATGAGTCAGGTCATGAGAAACTACAATAGATGTTAGTGGTCCACGAAGATTCAATTGCCTCATGGTGCCTTAGCTGTATCAATTTCAGTAAACATGGTCTATGGTGTGTTTTTAAAATGTCTGTATTTATTTAACTTGAAAGATAGAGTCCTCCTATCAACTATTTTAGTCCCCAAATGCCTGCAATAATTGGGGCTGCGCCAAACCAAAGCAAGGAGCCAGAAACTCAATCTGGGTCTCCCACGTTGGTGGCAGGAACTCAAATATTTGTGCCAACATTGGCCACTTCCCAGGGCACACATTAAAGAGAATCAGGACTGAAAGCAGAGCCAGGACTCTAACCCAGCACTCCACAACGGGTTGTGTCTTCACAATGATAAACTTCCCAACTACACATTTCTCAGAATGCTTGTCCATGTTAAGCAGTACATGACTACATTCCAAAATTACATGGAGCTTTGAAAAAGATAGAAAGCAAGGATTGGCATTCTGGGATGGTGGGTTAAACCTCCACCTACAACACCAGCATCCCATGGCGCATAGGTTTGTGTCCTGACTGCTCCATTTCTAGTCCAGCTCCCTGCTAATGTGCCTATAGAAGCAACAGAAGTTGTCTAAGTCCTTGGCCCAATGCCATCCACTTGGGAGACTCAGATGAAGCCCCTGACTCCTGGCTTGGGCCTGGCGCAGTTTCAGCAGTTGTGGTGACTTAAGAGTGAACCAACAGGGCCCGGCATGAGAGCCTAGCAGCTAAAGTCTTTGCCTTGTGTGCTGGGATCCCACATGGACACCGGTTCTAATCCCAGAGGCCTTGCTTCCCGTCCAGCTCCCTGCTATGGCCTGGGAAGGCAGTTGAAGATGGTCCAGGGCCTTAGGACCCTGTACTGGTGTGGGAAACCTGGAAGAGGCTCAGGGTTCCTGGCTTCAGATTGGCTCAACTCCAGCTGCTGCAGCTGTGTGGGGAGTGAATCAACGGATGGAAGATCTTCCTCTCTCTCTCTCCTCCTCTCTTTATATCTGACTTTCTAATAAAAATAAATAAATCTTTAAAAATAAAAAGTGTGAATCAGCAGATGGAAGATTGATCTCTGTCTCACCCTCTCTCTGTGTCATTTAATTAAATAAGTAAATCAGCAAATAATAAACAACTGAATAAACATATAATTCTTATAAAAAGAAACCATATAAAGCAAATTTTTCAGGTCCATAATGCCAGATTAGGACAATATTGCTTTTATTCTAGTAACAAGAAACCACTGAAAGTTTCTAAGAAAAAAAAATATTATAATCAAAAGATGGAAAGATGGGACAAAGACTGAGCTAATTGTCAAATAAAGGTGAGTGACCACTACTGACCAGAAGAAAAGAAGGACTTCGAGGCAACTTCCCGGATTCCAGCTGATACATGCGGAGAAAGACTTCAACCTGGGGCGTGGCATCACTGACGAAGCGAACGACCTTCAAGGCGTGTAAGACATCCGAGAACTGATCCTTACGATACATCATCACCTGGCCATGGGACTCATGGTGGGGAGGCAGGATCCCTACAGGGACCCAAGGGCAAAGAGCAGAGAGATGCTGAAACTGCGATCCAAATCCCTCCTCTGTTAAAGAGACTCTCACAAGAAGCAACCTACCACATTTAGTCCAGAACTCACATCGATATTTGTTACCATACACATTCTGCTTTAGGGAGTTCTCAGTGTACAGGCCAGTGTGGTGGTGCAGCAGGTTAAGGCCACTGCCTGAGGCCAGCATTCCATGTTGGACTACCTAGTGGGCCTGAGCAAGCAGTGGAAGTATCCAGGCCCTGCCACCCATGGAGGAGAGTGGATGGGGTTCCGGAACCCTGGCTTTGGCTTGGCCCAGTCTTGGCTGTTGTGACCATTTGGGGAATAAACCAGAGGCTAAAAGAGCTCTAATCCCCCACTCCTCACCATCACTTAGCCTTTCAAATAAATGTATCTTAAAGAAATTCTGAGTAGAAAACAGTCTTAAATGCTATCAATGTTTGAGTGGTGATAAGTCACTGGTTTTAAAGAGAGATGAAATGGCGTCACAAAGGACCTCTAATAAATGCCATATACATCCAAGACAGTAATGACTTCAGCAGTGGTTTCGCTTAGTTTATGGTGGTCATCCTGGGGTTGCCTTTCGCTCCTATTCGCTTTTGCCTTGGCTCCTCCTCCCATCTCTTTACCATCAACAGCTCCTGGAATCTTTCTCTTCCCCAAAGAAACGTATTCCAACTTTAAGGCCACAGAAGTCTCTGATTTTCACTGAGGAGAAGACAGGATATGTGAATAACATTTAATGTTCAGGAATCCACTGAAACATGGTGTCCACTGATCAGATATTGGTACAATCACCCTGTCTTTTTAAGAAAAAAAAAAAGTTTTATTTATGTGAAAGGCAGAGTTACCAAGAAACAGAAATAGATGGAGAGGTTTTGTATCTACTAGCTTACTCCCCGAATGTATGCAACAATTGGGGCTGGGTCAGGCCAAAGCCAGGAGTGAGCCAGGTTTCTTCCAGTTCCTCAAATGAATGCAGGGGCTCAAGTGCTTGCGCCATCTTTTGCTGCTCTCTGAAGTGTATCAGCAGGGAGCTGGTTCAGAAGTGAAGCAGCCAGGTCTCAAACTGGTACCCAAATGGGATACCGGCACTGCAAGCAGCAGGCCTAACACACTGTGCCACCGCACCTGCCCTCAACACAGAAGTTATGATGCCAACACACTGTATAGGCCCTTGGTAAAGCCAGACTCAAGCCTTGGTTCTTATAATACCAGCATTTTTACAAGTGCACTGGTCCCCCTCAAGATCTTTATCAGTGGGGCCGATGAGTATCTCACACATTTCATCAGAATTTTCCTGTACAACCCTGGCTCTAAAATTCTTCATAAGAAATAGTAGCATGGTTAAACAGATTTGAAAAATGATGAAAATGAATTTTTAAGGTTTAAGGGTTTGCTAGAAATAAAAACATTTTACTTTATACTTTATTCCAGCCTCATTAAACTTGGGGTTGTAGAGAGCCCAGACTATGGAGTCAATTCCTTGGCTTGAATTTTAAAAAAGTATTTATTTATTTAAAAGGGAGAGTGAAACTAATAGAGAGAGAGAAAAAAACATATTCTGAGTCTACACGGGGAGTAAACCACCAAAGGATGTGTATCTTTCTTTCTCTCCTCTGTCAACTTTGCTTTCCAAATAACCAAGATAAATCTTAGCAAAAAGATAACACCAGTTACTGCACAGTGCTTTTCAGTAAATAGCTCTTATTCCCTCACTGTCTGCAGCTTATGCAGTCAGATGATACTGAGGATGTCTCAAGTGCTGAAAAATACAGTAGTTGAGAACGAATGAGGTCGGTCACCTGTCCTATGATCAAATGAGTTCGCCACACTTGAAGCTGCCACCCACCTCCATCACTGGCATGCCCTGTGGCCTCAGGCAAGCTGCTTCACACTTGCAGCAAGTATCTCCATCTATGAAAGTAGGAAATGGACACTTGCCTCCCGGGGAGAAGCTAAGACTTTTCTATCCCACCCGTGTGAGATTGCTCGGCACACAGGGCTGCCCAGTAACAGCCACTGTTCATAGTCCTGGAGCTCCACTCCACCACCATGCAGCTGACACAGTAGTCAGAGAGCAGGAGAGTGGTAGTGGACGGGTTGTTATCTGCTTCAGCAGGCTCAACAACGAAGGGGAGAAATAATCCTGGGCCCCAAGGGGGCTGTTGCCAGATTCCTGGAGAACCCAATTTGCTTTCTAGTCCCCAGAAATGAAGAAAGATGAGTTTTCCTTCCCGGTTAGCTACTCATCTCTGGAGTTTACCCATTTATACTTTCAGGGAGTGAAACTGCCTCTTTTCTGTGATAGCAGGCATTAAAAGGCACAGAAGCTAACACACTGAGAACCAAAGCCTAGGAGTGGCTGAGTGCAGCCTCTCCATTTTATAGATATGAAACACGAGGCCAGAGGAGCAGGCTTGCAGGTCACCCAGCTGACAACAAAGCTTAGGCCAGTTCTTTATCTCAGTCCGATGCTCTCTCCAAATCTTATTCTCTTCTTTCATTAATATAACTCACTCTCCCAGAGTAACCTTCAATGTACTGCTATTGAACTCACCTTATTTTCATTTTCATTCTATTTAAAAGGTAAAGAGAGGGGGCCAGTTTGGTGGTATATCAGAATAACCACCTGCCCTGTGATGCCAGGATCCCATTTAGACACCAGTTAGAGTCCCAGCTGCTCCAACTTCTGTTCCAGCTCTCTGCCTATGGCCTGAAAGCCCAGCAGAGAATCTTATACCCACAAGGAAGACCTGGAGGAGGCGCCTAGCTCCCAGCTTCAGTCAGCTCAGCTCTGGCCATTATAGCCACGGGGGAGTGCACCAGCGGATAGAAGCCCTTTTCTATCTCTTCTCCTCTTTCTGTAGAATCTGCCTGTCAACTACAAAATAAATAAATCTTAAAAAAAAAAAAAAAGGCAAAAAGGAACAACAGATCTTTGCTGGTTCAAAATGCCCACACCAGTCAGGGCTGGTTAAGGCCACGTAGGACTCCCATATGGGTGACAGGGACCCCAGGACCTGAGCCATCATCTGATGCCTCCTAACACCCATTAACAGAAAGTTGAACTGGAAGCAGAAGAGCCGGGACAGGAACCCAGGCACACTGATAGGGCACAGTCAGTGCCCAAGCAGCAACTGGCACCGCACCCAACGCCCGCGTGAAGTTACTGTCTTAAAGGCTCTTAGGTGAACACAATTCAAGTCTCTTAAGGAAGACCCAGTACTCTGGACAAGACCGATGTGATTCCTCCTTTCGTTGCCTGATAAGACAAGTTCTCATGATGCAACAGCTTTTCCAGGTAAATCTTGCAGCCCTGGTTTTCTTACCTAGAAGCACCTTCCATACCAATGCACGGTACATGGATGGCAGAGGAAATCTCTGACTGAAAGTACAAAGTTTCTCAATATCTAGAGGAGGATAAAAACAATTAGTCAGAAACCTTTCATGGTGATTGCAGCATGAAAAGGGGCATTTCACTTTTTATTGCTTAAAAATCTTTATTTCTACGAAAGGCACAGAGAGCGCGCTTGTGTATGTGTTGGTTCATTCCCAGCAGGGGCTGGGGCAGGTCAAACCCAGGACCTTGGGAACTCGAGCTGAGTCTTCCATATGGCTGGCAGGGAGCCATGGACTCCAGCCGTGATCACTATCTCTCAGGGCATGTACTGGTCGGAAGCAGGAATCAGGAAGGACTCAAACCCAGGCACTGTGGTAAGGGAAGGATATGCTAAGAGTGTGGTGAAGATATTTCATCGGGGAAGTCTACCACATGGCCAAAAAACCTAGGAAAGCCCAGAGTGTCCAACTTAGGGCCCACATTTCCACCAACTAAGCTGTTGAAAATCAGTCAGCAGGTACAGCGTGGGAAACGCATTCTGCACGCAAGACTATATTGCTTACATCAGCGGCGGTAGCTGTGAGTTACAGATTTTATTTCATTTAACGTACAGGACAAGCCTGGTGGGCAGCCACAGCTCTGAAAATGCAGAACTGAAGCTCAGGGCCATTAAGTGAGCTAACTGAATTAGCACGCACGGGTAGGTGACACCGGCAGCTCTCAGACCCCTATACTTTCAAGTAAATTATGCTGAGCCTCCCTGGCCTTCAGGTCTCTTATTGAAAGAGATTACAAATGCCAGACTCACTTAAAGGACAAGGAACAAAGATCAGCACTTATTTGAAAAGCACTCTAGGGGGACCAGCATCATGCTCAGTTAACACATGGGAGCCAATTTACGTCACAACTACCCCAGTTCTGATCCACTGCCCGCCAACTGTGCTCAAGAAAGCCAGAGAAGATGACCCAAGTGCTGGGACCCTTGCCACTCATGTCGCAGCACCAGCATTGTTTCAGGCTCCTTGGCTGTGGCCTGGCCCAGCCCGGTCACTGCGGTCATTCTGGGAGTGCATCAGTGAATGGAAGATCTCTTTCGCTTTCTGTGATTTTGCCTTTGAAATCATTTTATTTGAAAGGATTCTATGCAAATAAAGCATTGTTTTTGTAATATGACAGTTTACTCTGGTTTGGTTAACAATGGCCTACTGCTACAGGCTTAAACTAAACTAGAAAAGCAATATACAATTCAGTCTTAGAATTTCCATAGCAGAAAGTGACGATGCTGAGCTGTTGAAAATTCACCCAGAAATTATTCTGACATGTTTGGAAATTAAGAAGAAAATATAAGCATTCCACAAATGAAAAAATCAATGACTTCTTAAGAGGGCCTTCAAAAACTTCTGATTCTTTCAGGGGAAATAAATTTGAAAAATCTGTAACATTCCTCAAAAATGTTCAATTCTGCTGTCATTCCATCACTAAGCAATGACAAGCAGCAAAGACCTCTGGATATGTCTAATATGGAAATATCTACTTCCGAATATCCAGCAAGACTGAAAACCAGTAAGCTTAAACTTAGAAAACTCACCCAGGCGGTCATCTTTGAGGAGAATTTCTAATGATTTCTTTTCTTCAACTCCACGAAACCCCACTTTCTCATAATATACTGACCGGAAGTTTCTCTGGGAATCCTCAGTCATGTTTCATTCTTGGAGGAAAGAGAATAAAAACAGAGTTGGAGGGTCAGAGAGCTGCCAAGATCAGCCTAGAAGACTTGGAAACATTTTTAATGATTCTGTGCATCTTACCAGTAATCTATGCTGCAAAGGACGTGTTATGAAAGCTTTGTTTTTAACACAACTCTGTGTCACCACACCCAGCCAAGTCAAGCACGGCGTCTGAGCTGCTCAAGTGGATGGCTAAAGGTGACTCACCGGAGTGTCCAGCAATGGACACTCTGCGTCCATATCGGGTGTGTGAGGAAACACCTGAATGGAATCAGAAAGACAGGAATTTCCACATAAGAGGCTACCAACCATATACATTACAACTTAATTTGCGTTTTCACACACAAAAAACTATGCATTAACATTATATTCTAAAAATTAATAGTGGCCATTTTATGTGGTTGGACTCCACATGCTTTTAATTGTCTCTCTTTCAGCTTTTCTTTCCAAGATGGATATTTTGTGAAGTGAAAAATTAAGCTATGTTAAAGTATGAATGCTTGTGCTCCCTCCCTCCCAGTGTGGAAAACAAGATTTTCTGAAGACACAGATCTCTTGTCATGGTGACAGGAGGGGGTTCCCAGGGAGGAAAGACCTGAAAGAAATATAGAACGTTTCACAAACGTGGGTGTCATCCTTGTGCAGGGGCCACACTAACCTTCTTTGAATCATGGCAATTTTAGTGTATGTGCTGGTGACGCCAGCACAGAAAAGTCACACTTCATTTTTTGCCGCAAACACACTTCTGTGAAAGGAAATTATCAAAACGCAAACGCCACAATAAATGATGTTAGATTACAACCAGAAGAGAGAAATGAACGTATAGAATTGATGAAAAACAATCTGAACTATGACATAAGAACTCAAAAAAGCTCCAGGGATCTTGAGCTCCTAAGATCCTTAATAACACAGGATGTAAACAATCAAGAAACGAGCAGATTAGGCTGGCATTTAGAAAACAGCAGAGATGTAATGAACTTCCCCCAAAACACTCCATGGCATCACCTACACACCCACCATGTTTAAATACAAAAACAAAACCAACAAAACAAAAGGAAATTCTCGGGTATTAAAAAGCCTGCAGTGTCCCGAAGCATGCTCTGAATCTCTCAAGGAACAGGACTGGTTTGGGGAGAGGAAAAAATCTCAAAAGGCTGAATTTTCAGGGTCAGATGTTTTGTCTTGCCCCCCTCCCATCCCCCACCCCCCGCCAAAGTTTCAATGCAGTAAAATACAAAATGAGTCTGGGGAAGGTTATTTCTTAAAAGCATTCAAACAGCTCTAGAGCGATACAGTCCCCACCGTGTTGAGACCCAGTCTTCCCTTGGCAAAAACATCCTAAATGCCACCTGCGGGCCCGCGAGCATCCCCCCGTTGGAAAGGAGAACGCACCCTGGAAGTCCCTAGGATGCCTGCTTCACCTCTAACAGTGGAAACACACCCGTAATGCAACTAAGAGGTCGGCGGCACGCAGCGGAAACCGGGCCCGGCGCGCTGACCGCCGCGGGCAGCTGGCCAGGCGGGCCGGGCAGCCCAGGGGTCTGGGACGAGCCCGCAAGGCGAAGCGGCGGCACCGGACGTGACATCGGGCCGGCGCGCGCAGGCGCAAAGGGCGTTTCGAGGCCGTTCCGCCCCCATCCCGGAAGAAGCTGCCGCGGGCTCAGAGCGCGGGGACGGCCGGCAGGAGCGATGCTGCAAGCCCCTGTTCCCATGGGCCTCGCGGACCGGCCTCCCTCTCCGTCCCCTCAGGGCCTCGCGGCCACTCTCCTCGGAGTCCAGGCGGGATGCCTTCTTTTCTCCGGCTACCGCACGATGGGCCCCATTTTGGCTTTTTAACTGTCGGGACGGATAGTTTTATACAAAAGCCGATACAGGGTAGATGCGTAAAGAACACCCAAATGAGGACAAGAAAAGACCGTGCACTCAGGTCACCGGAGAGAGATGGCTCGGCTGGGAGCGGGGACCCATGGAGGTCACCCACCGAAATTACTGTGACCTGGGACAGCAGGTTAGGCCGAGTTCCTCAACCCCGGTGCACTTCCCACGCATGTTCTTTTCTCTCATGAAGACAGGGAGCTCCCATGCAGGCGCCCCACGTCACTCAGGGACACCCTAGCTCCCACAGTGGCCTGCAGCTGGTCACATCTGCTTCCTCTTAGCGTCATTTGCCACAGGGGCCTGTCCCTCCCTTGGGTCAAGGCCGGCCGATGTCCCCTCCCCAAAGGCCACTATTTTAAAGTCACTCCGCTTTGCTTACATAACAATCCCTGTACACAGATCTGCTTTTCCTTCCTCCCACGACACTCACTTTTCACTTTATTTGCTGTGGTTGTGTCACCCCACGGAAATGTCAGAGATCTTTGCTGTGCTACGCAAAGCACCCTGCATTGGTGGAATGTTCCTGGAACACATGAAACACCCAACACAGATTTGCTGAAGGAATGGGTATATGGGTAACTTCTCTTTCTTTATCAGATACTTGTGCTTGGGACATTACTGCCTGCTGGAGTCCTGGCACAGTACCAAGAATACAGCAAAGCAGGCCATACATTTTGTGGAGTTTAGTTGAAAATCACTTCTGGGGCCCCACTGTGATGGTTCAGTGGCTAAATCTTCACCTTGCATGTGCCGGAATCCCATATTGGCACTGGTTCATGTCCCACCTGCTCCACTTCCACTCCAGCTCCCTGCTAGTGATCTGGGAAAGCAGTCAAGGACAGCCCAACGCCTTGGGACTCTGCACCTGTGTGGGAGACCTGGAAGCAGCTCCAGGCTGCTCCAGCAGCCCCAATCAGAGTTGGATCAGCTCTGGCCATTGCGACCACTTGAGTGAACCAGTGAATGGAAGATCTATCTCCCTCTAGAAGTCTGCCTTGCCAATAAAAATAAATAAATCTTAAAAAAATTACCGATGGGCTTAGTTTGAATATATACATTATTGTCCATCTATTGAAGGTATCTTGTGCTACTTGTTACCTTACTGCCCTCTGGTGGTTAACTGTTGATACTGAATCATTCGAACTAATTGCAGCTCTAGCCATAGAATTTGTTTTATTTTTAGAGACTTATTAAAGTTAGCTTATATCAGGGGGCCGTGCCTTGGGGCTGGGGGCGGCTTGCAGCTCCCCACAGTGTGGCGGCTGTGGGGGGTGCCCCTGCCGGGCCAGATCCAAGGCTAGGGACTCAGGCCAAAGCCCCTGCTGAAAGGCAGTGACTGAGTCCTTGGCTTTGGGTGGCAAGTGCACCAAATGGTGCCAGGCCCTGCCTGCTGGCTGCCCAGTGACGAGCTCTGGGGTTGTTTTTTTTTTTTTAAGATTTATTTATTTATTGGAAGGTCAGATATACAGAGAGGAGAAGAGATAGAGAGGAAGATCTTCCATTTGATGATTCACTCCCCAAGTGAGCGCAATGGCCAATGCTATGCTGGTCCAAAGCCAGGATCCAGGAACTTCTTCCGGGTCTCCCACATGGGTGTAGGGTCCCAAACCTTTGGGCCATCCTCACCTGTTTTCCCAGGCCACAAGCAGGGAGCTGGATGGGAAGTGGGGCTGCTGGGATTAGAACTGGAACCCATATGGGATCCCGGCGCGTTCAAGGCGAGGACTTTAGCTGCTAGGCCACGCCGCCCAGCAGCGAGCTCTGGGGTTTTTAGGATATAAAATTGATGCTTCGTGACACCCACGAGTAAGGCCAGCTTTAGTGTAGGTGAGAGATGAATTCTGGGTGATTCCCAGTAACAGGGTCATGTAACTTTCGGGCAAGCTTGGGGACTGAGACCTGAAGGTTTGGAGGGGAGTGTCCATCAGATCTATTCGGGCCAGACTAATTCACCAGTCAAATTAGGAATCCTGAGATGGGCTGTTAGCATAGAGCATCACTGCCTGCCACACACCAGTCCATACCAAAGCTATGGATGGGGGCCTGTCTGGCAGGGATAGGTACCATTACTTGACTGGGTGGTGGAATAGTGGCCTGGTCACATTTGGCAGGGTCAAGACACTAACCAGCACATGAGAGAACTTGGTCTGGGGGTAAATTCTGTGGGGGAAGTGTGGTTGCAACTTGTGTAAATACAAGTCCCGCAAGTTAGCTCACAGGCTGGGGTGGCAATGGGCTAAGGAGTGACCATGGTACCTGCCATCACTTACGGGTAAAGGAACCGATGGCAATCTGGGCAGGCCAAAGCAAAACCACCCAATGATGCATCCTAAAATAGGACGTGGGGTGGGCCAAGTTGCAACTGAAAGGGGGTGGACCGGGTAGGGCCAAGCAAACTTCAACTCACAAAAAAAAGAGTAGAAATCAGGATGGAGCACGTGTCATTCTGATCTAGGCTCTTACACCAACTGGTCTGCATGAGGCAGGAATACTATCCTATAGCATCGAAGGCAAAGGCTAAGACAGGTGAGGGGCTAAGCCAGCTAGGTCAGAGCACCCACTGGCATGCATGCAATTTAGGGCTGGGAATAGACTCGATTGGGGAGCAGTGAGAGAACACCCTTGCTGGGTTGGGATTCCCACGGGATGGTGCAGGGGCTGGAGTGGGGGGCTGCATTCTGGTCTGGATATGGCTGCAATCTCCTTAGGCACAATTGTAGACTGGCGCTAGGTGCACTGGGACTGATGTCTAGCTGGGCTAGACACCAACACCATCCAGTGCTCTGGAGAACCTGGGTAGATGTAGGACAGACTAGGCTGGGTCTCTGCCCCTACTGAGCCATGTGTGAGCAGTGTCTGGGTAGGGACGAGCCTTGGATGGGCTGAAACACCCAACACCAAGAACTGGAATGGATTGAAGGCCAGCAATGAGGGCTGGCCCATGGAACCACTAGTATGCACACAACCTGGCACAGGGAGAGGTTCTGAAGGAATAGCCTGAGAAACTCCTCTATTGGAAACAGCCCCTACAGGTGAGTGCAAGAACCACAACAGAGAGCAACCTGGACCAGGCCAGAGGAAGATACCCACCATCATACATATGGCATAGGTGGGGGGCAGACCAGGCTGAACTAGTTCACATCAACCACTGGCGAATCCAAGCACCAGCATAGTGTCGGTCAGGCCAGTTTCGGTTGCAACACTTACCAGTGCACAGTAAGGAATGCCAAGGTGAGGTGAGCTGTACCAGATGTGGCTGCAGTGCCCAAACAGCACACGTGCGAACCGGGGAGGAGGAGGCAAAGCAAGCAGGGAAATGTGGGCTCCCCTGCTGGACACCACTCCCACTGGAGAGCATGAGTTGGGATAGGGACAGACCAGACCAGGCAGGGCTACAACACCTATGGGCCTCATGTGAACTAGATGAGGGAAGGGCCAGATTGGGCTGACTCTTCCAACTAGTGCAAGCAAAAATTAGAGTGGGTGAGGGTTGGTTGGGCTTTGCCACACCATCAGATGGCAGAGGCTGGCACTGGGGGCTAATTCTGCTAAGTTCAATGTCAGAACAACCTGAGAATGCACAATCCAGAAGTTGAAGTGGCCTAGTAGGGAGATAGTGGGCACCTCCCTTGTGGGTTACCACTCCCACTGCAGAACATGGAAACCAGGACAGGGGCAGGCATGGCTAGACAGAAAGGCACTTGCCACTATGTGTGTGTGGGCTGGATAGTAGGTTGGTTGGGTTGAACTAGGCTTCAATACCTGTTGACGTGTACGAGAGCTAAATGGGATGTGGGACAGACTGAACAAGCCTGTGGTACATGCTGGCATGCATGGGAGCCAGGATAGGGAGCAGGCCTGGTGGGGGCTATGGGGAGTTGCCCCAACTAGGCTACAGCTCCCACTGGTTTACGTGAGGACCTAGTATGAAGTGGGCAGGTTTGAGCTGGACTACAACACCCATTGTTTCAAGTGGATGACAGGGCTGGAAACAGAACTGACCCAGCAATTGCAATGACCAATATGTGCACAAGCTGATTGGGGCGATGGACTGTGACAGACCCTGTACTGGCAAATTCACACAAGAATCAGGTTTGGGATCATCTCAGATGAAGTTTCTTTGGAGATCCCTCCAACTGAACTACTGATCTCAGAACCCCAACCATGAAGAGACTATGTCAGCCAGTGGAGTCTGAATAGGTTTCATTGCGTTTGGAACAGTGAGATTGGCAGCAATTCAGAACTATTGAACTATCAAAATTTCTTGAGCAGGACCCTTGGAGCGTGCCTCACATCGGAGACCTGGAATGAGTGGGAGGTTGGGTGGGGCTTTTCCCTTTGTTTCTCCCCTGACCCCAGGTACAGGGGAAAAAATGATATTAGTGTGGAAACTTTCCTATAGCCCTTGGCCCTTTGTACTCTAATCAACTAAGATCATTTAAAAAAGTAAGTAAGGGCGGGACAAAGGGAAGCGAAGCCGGAGCTGCGGGCGCTTTTTCTGCCCGCAGTGTCTCAGTCAGATTCATTCTTAAGGAACTGAGAACTTAACCTTCCAAAATGTCAAAAAGACCATCTTATGCCCCACCTCCCACCCCAGCTCCTGCAACACAAATGCCCAGCACACCAGGGTTTGTGGGATACAATCCATACAGTCATCTCGCCTACAACAACTACAGGCTGGGAGG